TTCAGTGTCTTTTACGTGTTTATGAAAGAAAAAGAAAATATAGATTTTTCCTTTGTTGTTTGAATTTTCATTGTCTGAATCACGTTTTCTGAAAAGAAACTTAAATGTTTTTATATTTGAAGTAAAGTTTATTTTTATCTTTAACTTAACTTTTCTTTTGTTTTTTCGGTTTACATTTTTTATGTTCTCTTTATCCACCACAGGTTTATTTGTTTGTGGTTTTTTCGTTGTTGTTTTTTTTTTTTTTGGTACCGGGGATCGAACTCGGGACCTTGCACTTGCGGGGCAGGCACTGGAACCACTGAGCTAAATCCTCGGCCCTCCACCACAGGTTTATGGAGATTATTTTAGTATTTGTGATTTTACCTTTTATATTTAAATCCATAATTTATTTTAAATTCATTTTTGTGTATAGTGTGAAGTAGGAGTCTATGAATCTAGGTTCATTTTTTCAGGTAGAAACCTATTTGTACATTTATTGAAGGGTTATCCTGTCTCTTTTATTGCTTTGGTACTTTATAGAAAATTATTCACCCTCATTAGTATTGATATTCCTCATGATACATTATTCTTTGTCATTCAAAAGATGCTTCCATCTTAATGTAAGTAACAAGGAGTATTGATTACTGGCACTTTTTAGCAATTTTTGAATTGACGTAGTGTGAGTCTTTTACTTTTTCTTTTCTGAAGATTGCATTGGTCATTTGTATTTCCACATATATTTTAAAATTAGTTTGTCCATTTCCATCAAAAAACTTTATGAGATCATACTGAATCCATAGGTCATTTGGGGGAAACTGAAATCTTAACTTCCTCCTGGAGTAGGTCTGAAGAATAATAGGGCACACAAAGGCCGACTTTAACAAACACCAACGGATATCTTTTCAGAATGACTAGAAGAGCCTCCACCTTCAGTGCTCTGATCGTGCATGAACATTTCCACATTGTTGAGAGCACTTTGCACTGCTCTGTTTTCTAATGCTTACCATTCAGATGAGTAAAGTCTTGAGCGTTCTTGTTCTTATTTCCACTCTCTCATCTGGAAACTGAGCATCTTTCATATACGTTTATCCATTTGGGAATCATTTCTGTGAACTACTCATTTATATATTTTTTTCTAATGTACTCATTGGATTACTTGACTCAAAATCCATTATTTGCAAGAGATAATTTTATATTTAATTACTAAACTCTAGTTAGTTTTATGCACTGAAAATAGTTTGCTCATGTCTGTCACGTCTATTAACCTTTTCTATAAAATCCTCCATGGAAAAGAATCTTAGATTTGACAGTCAATTCCACTGATTTTTGCCATCTTATTTGATGTAGTATATCTTTTAAAAGAAGATTTTATTTACTGCTAAGGCACAAAGATATCCTTTACTTTTATCTTATCTGGTTTGGGGATTTTCAGTGCTTCTAAAATCCATACTAAATCCTCTCCACTGTTGTACAGACACTTTTACCACCTTATCGTAGAAAGCATTCCAATACAGTCATAGGTCTATACCTGAGCTCATTAGGAACTCTCTTCATCCAAGCCTGTGACAGTACAATAAAGTTTGCGTTAGTTTTGTACTAAGTCTTCGTATAAAAATTGCTCTTCTTTTTACACACACACACACACACACACACACACACACACACACACATATTTTTTCCCTGCCTTGAGTTTTTGTGTCTCAAGGCCCATTTCAGAGAAATTTTTCAAGTGCCCCCCAATCAGCTGTGATATCGGTTAGGATTACTTTTAATTTATACATGTATTCAGGCACTTTTTTTTTTTCTTTTTGGTGATACTGGCGATTGAACCCAAGGCCTTCATTCTGAGCTATATGTCCAGCCATTTATATTTTTTTTAAAAAAATTTGAGATAGGTTCTCATTAAGTCAATAACTTGGTCAGGCTAGGCTTCATTCAACCTGTGATCCTCCAGCCTGGGCCTCTCAGAGATCTGGGATTGCAGACATGTGCCACCATGTCTGGCTCCGTCGATATATTTTATATACTGAGTTGATGTATTCATGAATGGACAATTTAGTGCTACCATACCCTGCCCATGTCAAGTTTAACAACAAAGTCCAAAACTTGCATTTCTAAGAAAGTTTCTGCCTGCTGTGTCTCAATTGAACCTCTCTAAGGAAATTGTGTTAGCTAAGAAAACTGTCTTGTCCAAACACCAGGAGCAAAGAAGCCTGGTTCTCTTGCCCCAAGCTATATCAACCACAGGGCTTACTTCCTTCGCTGCAGCTATTCTGAAGTTCACCTTCTCTTCCTGTTAAATCCTGCTTCTTTTTTCCCCTCTACTAGAGATTAAACCCTGGGCCTTCACCCTGAGCTATATCCTCAGACTTCTAATTTTTTTTTTTTTTAACACAAGGTTTCACTACATTGTTATGTTGCCCAGAACAGTCTCCAATGGATCCATTGTGATCCTCCTGCTTCAGCCTCCTAGATTACTGGAATTACAGTTGTTTGCTACCCCAACCAAGTATCTTTCATTTCCTGGAGAAACTGTTCCTGAAAGCTTCCCTCAATAAATTTTCTGCACTCAAGTTTCAAGATCTCAGAGTATGTTTCTTGGAGAACCTGAAATATGAATCTCTTCTGGAAAATCCTCAAGTTTTTCTGGATACATTTAATTCAATTAATAATACAATTGTTTTACTTTTGACATGCTTTCCAATAGATTGTTAATGTAATAAAAATGATATTTTTGTTTCTGTTTTTCTTATTCCTGCCTGTCCTGTTGCATACTTAGGTCTTGCTAAGAAGAAAAGAGATGTTCTTTACTAGCTTCTTCAAAATCCAGGATTTAAATATTGGATTATGGTTTATCCTGTCCGCATTGTCAAAGTTTAGGGGAGAATGTTCTTGCTGATATTTATACTTATCCCTATTAAGAAATAACCCACTTGCAGGGGATTTAGCTCAGTGGTTCCGTTGCCTGCCTTACACATGCAAGGACCTGAGTTTGATCTCCAGTACCAAAAAAAGAAAGAAAGAAAGAGAGAAAGAAAGAAAGAAAGAAAGAAAGAAAGCCACTGTATTTTTGCACTGCTTCTGATATGAAGTCCACTGCCAATCCAATTGCCATTCTTTTGTAGGTAATCTTCAAATTCACTAATTCTCTCATATTGTATACAGTATTGTATGCAGTCTAGGCCTATATTTCAATGATTTTTAATTTGTATATCTCTCTAATCTTTACAACATTTGGTCACTTTTGTTTCATAATTTTCTTTCCTTTTATTTTGGGTATAATTTACATATCGTCAAGGTTTATATATATATATATATATATATATATTTATTTATTTATTTATTTTATTCTTTTTTTTTTTTGGTACTGGGGATCGAACTCTGGTCCTTGCGCTTGCAAGGCAGGTGGTGGAACCATTGAGCTAAATCCCCAGCCCAAGGTTCTTATATTTAAGCAACAGTTGCAGTCACTTGTTTTCATTTTTCTCTTAGTTGTGGTGTGGTTCCAACTGGGAAATCATCTGTCTTTCATCTCCTGGTACAGGTGACTCCCTAGCACATGGCAACACACTTGCTCCAGGCTTCAGTCAGCCCAGTGTCCTCCTGACTTAAGTCACCAATCTCTTCACCCGCCTCTACACACAGGATAAAAACATCTGTGTGTTTCTGCTCCACTCCAATTTGCCTTTCTTTTGTGTTCACTTATACCATTTCAATGAGAAAAAAACCAGCATTTATTATTGCTATATATTTGTATACAGGGCTATGGACAAAGAGGATTAATGGCTGAGGATTAATCTTGTAGAACCATTTAGACAGTAATCTAATACATTCTCATTCATTTTTAAATATGTAATAAGTAAATATTTCTTTTATCACGGCATTTCTTGCTACTTTTGTTTTCTCCATTATTGCTCTAAAGTGGGCACTGACCAATCTGTGCCAAAGTGTAGTCAATAATATGTATAGTGCTAATAGCCTGAAAACCATTTTTCCTTGGGTAATCTGCATGGTACTCTCCCAGAGGGATCTGTATTAAATTGCAAGAAGATATTTAATGAAGTTGTATTTTGAATCTGTACATATTCTATATTTTTATAAATATGTAAGTTTTAGCTAGCTGTTATACTATTTTGTTCCTCCTTCTGGAAAACTCCTTGAACAAACTGTTCGTAAAAATGATATAACTGCACTAGACACCATATTACTCATTTATACAAAAATACATTATCTTTATTTGAAATTTTAAATGGAAAACTAAATTATAATAAATTTCCTTAGTAAATGTAGAGTCTGAGCAAGGAATACTAGTTGTTTGGTGTAAATGGAAGCTGTTATAAAGTTAGGGTCACCTGAATTATCTATTTTTACCTGCCAAAGATTCTACACACTTTTGTCACTGTTCATAGGATGAAGTTTCTCATTCTGTGGGACTCATTTTTTTCTGGGCCATATATTGGCTATCATCTTGGCTTACATACTCTTCCTTCTAATAGCACTTGATACAATTGAATGCAGCAATGCATATACAGTGCTATTGTCTAATGTTTAGGATTTGGTTTCCCTTGTAGCTCCAATTATTTACCTTTGGAATAAGTGCTAATTCATTCTATAATACTTAGAGTGATTAAGCTCAGAATTTCTTTTTTTTTTTATGGCTTTCTGAGTTGTGAGGATGTCTTACTATTTTCCTTGAGTCCACAAATTCTACTTTTTAACATTTTCAAGAAATTCATTTCAGTAAGAAACTTCCATGCAGACTAATTTTACTTCAAAATGGTAGCATGCTAATAATTTTATGTGTCAACTAAAATTAATATTTTGAAGCAATGTCATATTATAAATTTATAAATCAAGAAAACCTGTTATTATTTTAACATGGTATTTTGAAGTCACTCGCAAGTAGATATAGTTGAGATATTTTCATAGTTTAAATTAATTATGAGCATATTTAAAGTATCATTTATTGAGCACTGGTGACTGTAACATTTTTCTATAACTTTAAACACATTTCTTACCACAAGTTGAACTCTTCTACCATTAAGTACATCTGGATCTAACTCAGGCAAGAAGTGATTGCTGCATCGTGACAAAAAGAGAAAATATTATAATATAAATGTACTGGAAGATATGAAAGAAATTCCCATGTGAAAAATTTGGGCAACATCATCATTTATAAAATGGAAATAATGGTCTTGTTAAATTAAGTCTAGGCAAAGATAAATAATAATGTACATCTTTCTGTAGTTACTTTGAAATTCCAATTTCTACATGACTAACACTGCCTTTCTTCAACAAATAAAAACATATCAAATGGCAAGAATTTGAAAGCATTAATAGTGATAGTTCATGCTATAAAAAATTTAAATGTTTTGTATATATTTATTTATATACTGTACTTCAGTTGTCTTTTGAGAAAAGCATAGCTTTAAAGCAGTTGTAGGATAGTTAATGCATTACACTAATTCTTATAATGAACATTTATTTTAATTAACGTGGACAGAAGTGCTTGCACAATTTTTCTTAAAATATTCCTTTAGAAGTTATATTTTCAAAACAAAATGACATGACTAAATGCTTACTAGTTTATATACTTAAATACAGATCATTTATTGGTGATATTGCTAAACATTGAAGCATATCTAAAATTCATCCTGAAACACCTTGCTTCTAATTTTCTATGTATTATATCTATACTAATGCTCTTATATTTGGCTAATATAAATGTTAAGTGATGGATTCTGCTCCATTTATTTACACTTATAAGGCTGCTATGATTAGTACCAACATAAAATCATTTCCATGAATTTAAAGACTTGACAATAAAATTACTCAAATATTTATGGCTTTATTTTTACTTCCTTTGTTCACAAAAAACATGGCCCAATTCAAATTATAAAATGTCTTAATTTTATTTTCATTTATGCTCCCATATAATTTCCATATTTTGAAAAGAACTGAATGGATAAATATCATCACATATGGAAGTTCAACTCATATGTTATTACAAAGGGCAAAATTATAGTTTTAACTGCCAAGTTTATAAATGATAACAAATAAAATACAAACAATATATGACATTTACATTTGTACACCATACTTTCATGTTTCATGCTCTAATGTAGAATAATTTGTCTGGGTTAACTGTTGGTGTTAAGCATTACAGAATAGAGTTCTTTCTAATTATTTTATGGCAAAATACATAAGGAGTGATTGAATCTATTTTATATGAAAGGCCTGTTTATAACCTAGTAACATGGTGCATTGGCCCTTGGCTATAAAGTCATGTTTGTGTTAGCACAATTAACCTAGGTTTCAGTTTTCAAGATGTGTTTACAATGCAAAAATCTAATTTAAAGGAAATGACCTCACCTTTTCATATTTCTGGAACTAGTTGTTTCATGAACCCCAACCTGTGTGTGAAGCCACTCGTATGTATATGCTGTACTCTGTTCCAATTTTTCATTGGCAGAGGTGTCTTTGTAGATTAAGTCATCTTCCTTACCTGGGGAAGACATATGGAAAGTTTGTTATTTAAGGAAATAAACTCTGGCCTTGCAGCTCAGTTAAGGGTAACAATTTCATCACAAGGTTGAAAAAATTACTGACCAATTCATGGTGACTAAATCATCTGCAAGAAAAATAGTTTCAATCACTTAAAAATGAAGTATTTTCTCTGCTTGAGTTTCAAACCCATCTATGTTGAAAAAATAAAGGAAATGTTTTACAAAAACACCATTTTAAAGATTTATGCTTTAATTTTTAATTTAAAAATTTGGTTATTTTTGTTCAACAATGAAATTCTAATATAAAAAGAACATCTGTTTGCTGTCAAGTCATTCTAGGCTAATTTTCAAATCTAATTGCACTTACACCAGCCTTATCCATATGTAGAAATTGTAGATTATATTGAGCACATTTGAAACAGGATTTTCACTGTATATAAAACTGAGCTTGGTTTGTATAAGCTGATAATACATTTTAAGCTAGGAATATAGTTCATCGGGTTTCAAGGAATTTATGCTTATTGTATAGCAGCTATTTCAAGGATAGGGAAAGTATAATAATAAAGATGAATATGGAAAAAATTTGAGATGAGAAGTTATACCACATAAGAATAAAAGGTTAACAAATATAAAAATCAGTAAACTACTTTTGAAAATGGAAAAGGAAAATTGAAGCCTCGTATTCAAATAATAAAAATTATTATACACACACACACATATATATATATATATATATATATATATATATATATATTCTTTCATATATATATGAAAGAAATCTCCAGCATGTAGATACTGGTGCTATATCCATGCCACTCATTTCAGCGTCACACTGAAGACACCCGTTTTAGAGCCTTCTTTATTGATGTCATGACCAAGAAATATTTAGACCTGTTAGCTCTGTAAGCCTGCTTAATTGTACATCATAGGGAGAATACCTCTCAAAAAGTAACTTATGGTAATTAAACTCATAAAAATGGTTTAAAATCTGGTTTTTAAAATGTCAGCCTATTTGTTTGAAATATTATCTCATCATAGATGTTTGCAGAAAGTCAACATATTTTCAAATTATTTGGGGAAAATGAACCATGTTATAAAGCATATTTTGAATGAATGGTGAATGTGCACAGATGCACTCCTATGTGTACACCAAGTTAAACGTTTCATTGTGAACATGTTGAGAATAATACCTCTAAAACGTAATTTTTCCATAATTAATCTATCAATACAATGGCTAGTTTTCAATTCAGAGATGTTGAAGTCAATTCTCAGGAAAGTTAAAACACTTTGTTTTCCTAAACTCTAAGTTCCACTTACTTTTTATACCACTTGTTTCCAAAGTGGCCACAATCCTTGCATGCTGAGCTTATCCCAGCTCTTCAACAGTTGATATAGGGGGAAAATTAGAGGACAGAGAAACAATTGCTTTGCGTATCTGATCTGACCACTAAATATGAGCAGCACAGTTCTGATAAATAGCTTCATAAACATGTAGAAACTAAGTTATATACTCCAAGGGAAGATTTGGAGTTGCTAAAGTCAGTTATCACATAGAAGTAAGTCCTCCTCTGCAGAGTCCTAGCTTCACATCTACTACCTTTTTTAGTTGACCAGAGTATATGCTGAACCCAATTGGTCAGTGACAGAAAACAGCAAGACTGTGACTCTGATGATCAACTGAGCCCACTATGTAGAAAATTCATTGTTAACAAGTGTACCTTCAGTTGAAATAGAAATGACTCTTGGCTTTCTGTTTTTTAATAAACAGTGATACATACTTGCAATAGTCACTTTTAAAGCACTTCATTCTGGAAAGTTTTCTTCTACTCTATAGCACTTCATAAACCCTAAGCAGTTTTACAACAGAACTCAGCCAAGGTTCTAAGCAATTCATGAGTGAAGAGGAGAGATTTCATGGCAAAGGTCCAACTCATAATAACAATTTTCTCCCTAAGTCATGGATTAGTATATTGACAAGGTCTCAGTGTTAGAAAGAGAACACGCATGGGGTGAAGGTAGATGTAATTAAAAATAGTACGATTTGAATGCTGGTGAAAACGATTCTGTCCTAGACAAACCATTTCAAGGTCACTCTTATCACTTAGAAGTAGAAAGTAAGATTATCTTTAAAAATGCTAAAGTCCTTCTATTTGCATCTTTGTAAGAAGGCTAAAAGTGACCTGGACTATTTAAAGGAACTGTTGAAATTTTATTAGTAATACAATACATCCCCATTATAAGCAATTCAGAAATTAAAAGTTCAAAGGAAATAAAACCTGCAAAACTTCCACTATCCAAATACAGCCACTCAATAACATTTTAAAGCATGCTGTTATGGTTCTTTTGCATAGACTTGTTTTATTTTTGGTTTACATTGTAACTACATGTATTCTTCATATCTCTTCAGTTCATGCTACAAAAATGCATTATATTTAATAAAAATTTCATCTTAAATATAATTTTGGTGATTTGTACTTGTTAACACAATAAATTAGTGATCATCTACCCTAATCCATTTTAAATATGAAACTGAAAATACTATGTCTAAAAGTGTAATATTTTAAGAAATTTGGTACAATATGTATTCACAAATAGTTTTTAAAAGGCTGCACTAATCTACCACGACCTGGAAGAGGTTCATTTGTTAGAGTTGCAGTTCAATGTTGATATGTTAAAAATTTTAAAGATGTTAATAATTTGAGATGTTATTAACATTTGAGTTGTTAATAATTTAATATTATCTGATTCTAGTCTTAATGTATGTCTTTCCTGCTAGTAAAATAGTCTATGTTATTATTTATTTTGGGTTATATTTGTGAAAAATCTTTCTAATTCTCTCCAATTAAGTACTACATCCAGGAATTTTCCTTCATGCTTTTAAACCAACCGTTCGCAAATTCCTTGTTATTATTGGTGCAAATAATTTCTTTTTTGTCTTTAGCTGATTTTAGTTTCTATTGTACTTTAAAAAAGGGTACGTTTTCTTGTTCTCCATGTATGTAAATTTGTATATTTGCTAAATATCTTCTGAACTATAGAACATTCTGCCTTTATAAGTTTGTATTTCCCAATACAATAAACTGCATGAGTTGTAAGAAGATTTAGGGACAAATTCTACAGCCTCCCAATATTTCATCTTTCATGGCAAAAGGAATTTCATTCTCTATTTCCTCACTTTTCATTACCTCCTTGATTTACTACAATCTGATTTGCCAGATTGTAGTAACTGAATTGAAATTGTGCTTACTAAGAAAGCCTAAAATTGTTTTTATCTAACAAACATTAATTCTCTGTTTTCATTGATTTCTTTGTTCATTTTAATCATATATGCCTTTGTCTAAGAACTCCTCTCTGCAGGTCTTTGAGACACTGGATTTTAACACCAGATTTTTTTTTTAGTAGTACATATTTGTACTACATAATGCTTACATTCCTTGTGGAGAGTTGGTACATATACACAACACATCTTAATTCCTTTTTTATATCTCCTTTCCCTTCCCTCCTTTTACTCTCCTCATCTCTTGATGCCCCCATTTTTTGTATATGTTTGTACTATATAACATTCACATTCCAGAGGTGGAGCTGGACATGTACTTAACACATCTGAATTCCAAGTGCTTCCTTTCAGGTTCATTGGCAGAATCTTTAGATGTTGGTGCTTCCACGTCCAAAAGAATCTCAGAGCCTATGCTGTATGCCTGTCTATGTACTGGCTTCTGATGATAGTTGATCAGACAGACTTAGTTTTCTATGTCATGGGGCTAGCCAAGTAGAGCATTAGCTTTTCCTAACTTCTATTTTATCCTCCTGAGCATATTTCATATTTCCAGCTGGACTTTAGGACACCAAATTGCCTTTACTATTATCATCTTACTAAATTTTTTTGCTTGAATTCTTTAGTTACCCAGATCAGATATTCTGTAGCCAATAACAAAAGATAGATCTAGTCTACTTTCTGGGTATCCCACTAATCTGGTTCCTCTTTTCTATTACACCTCAACCATGGTACTTCAGGCTTCACTTTTAAGAGAAGCAAACAGGCTTGTGTATGGTGACTTGTGCAACAGCACCTTTATTATCTCTCACAAAAGGCACGCCTTCTCCTAAATCCAACATCTTCAACCATGCTGTAGACCTATAATTATTCCATGTAATCTGGAATTACACTTGATCTTAGCCAAAAGACTGAGAAGCAATAATGTAATCTGGAATTTATTGCTATTAGTTTTCATTTGTCTTCTGTATTTTCAGTACCTGTCAAAAATGCTTTTTACTCTTCTCTCTCCCTCTCTAATCAGATAAGTTTCTTGAACAATCTCACTTGCCATTTATGCTTTAGACCTGAGCAATATTCAATTTCTTCATGATACTATTTCACTGGGACAGTGCACATAAAATCACCATACTGTTAAAATTTAGGCCTTTTTGAATTTACTATGTTACCAATTTCCTCTATGGTATTACACACTACTGTCCATTTCTTCCTTCTTGAAAGGCTTGTTTCCTCTGGATTTTGTTTCACTATATTCTTCTTGTTTTTTTTTTTTTTTTTTTCAGTTTTTTGGCCAAACTCTACAGTGTTGTTGAAGAGCTTCTTTTCCCTGGTCATCCACTCTTCTTAGGATTCATCTCTGGAGTTTTCTAATGTGGTCCTTTCTAATTCTTAGTCTGCACTGGCCTTGTATGATGATTTCCTTTCAAATTCTCCAATCTTCATTTTTATCTTCTTTTTGGACAAGTATCCAAACCCTATGTGCCCCACAGAGTCCTCAAACCAATAGATGAAACTTGTTTCTTCACTGCTTTTGATTAAGCTCAAAGATTTTTTTGCAAGCCATACAGGTCTTGGTTTACGCCTTCAGGTGCATCTGTTAGGATCCTACCTTACTGCCCTAGGCATCTTATAGTTACTTACATGCTCCCTTTGCCCACATACTTTTCCTTATACAGCTTTCTGTCTGGCATTCTCCGCTTAACCAGTGACAGTCCTGTTTCAGAT